GGCATAGTCTATGCACTGTCTGTAGGGAAAGGTTAATCCTAATTTCATAATTATATAATAATATTAATTAGGCCATTGCTAGGCCATAGGATTATATCTTAATTATATTTCATTAATTTGTATTTTTTCAAATGTAAATTCTTTAAAGTTAAAATGTTTTAAATTAATTTTTAAAATTGATGATATATTTTTCTACATATTTATTTTTGTATTTCACTAACTTTTAGGTAATTGGTTTTGTGTTTAATTTTGTTTTATTATAATAAAGGCCTATTATAATCTACATTATTTATAATATTTTATTTACACAAGGCTAAATATTTTATTTACAAGTGTTCATGGGCGTCGATCGGTGGGGAAGTAGGGGGACATCATATCGATTGCCCCCCCCCCCACTGTTCACCAATCTTCTATAATTAAATCCCCACTTTTAAAAGCGAATGGAAAGAATAACAATTACGCATGACTCATGAATTTTGTCTAAGTGCGGTACGTATTTTCCGGACCAAAACCGAGTAAAAACGCAATTGTTTATACATTTCGTAACCATCTCAGAAACCACTAGATCGATTTTATGGGTGCAACTCAAAAGTGCACAATTTCTACTTTAAACGATTTAGTCCTTTTGTATATTATTATGACCCGTACGTTATGCTAGTGTTGAATATTATCCACATACATAAGATTACTGTTTTTCCTAATTTCAAAAAATTATAGTTAGGCAATAATTAAATTTTCTATAGCCATTATTAAACAATAATTAGACAGCCTTTGACACGGATGTCTATCTATTTTGATTAAGTGATAGGCCTACCAAAAGTTTACAAACTCCAGTGTTACGTTGACGCAATCTTGCAATGACGTCATAATAATCAGTGGCGGACGGGATTCAAGTGGGGCCGAGCCGACCCTACATTTTTCAAAATTATTTTTAAAAAACAAAGGAAAATTATAATTAGAATTACGTCTGAGAGTACCATTTCCGGCATCTAGAGGTGTCATAATCGTAAATTTTCTTTCTTCAGCCCCAACCATGGTGGGACTGAGGTGATCTACTTTCCCAAATTGTGCAAGTCTCTCCCTGTGCCCCATTTAATTTGCTTTCCTGGAGCCGCCACTGATAACGATAAATTAAGTGAATCACCTTTATGTTTGTGAAATCAAAATGCTAACTAATGTTTTGTGTGCTCCCTCCCTAGTCCTGTTTGATCGTAAATTAGACGGTATTATTTTCACTCACAATAGTGTAGTCGCAATATTACTTACACAAAAGTGAAATTCAAAAAAAGGAGAAAAGCAAAAACCTCTTGATTGATTTTAAAAGTACTGTACATGTAAGAAGACTAAATTAATGACTGTTTTAAGTTTATCATATTTGTTTTTCATGGTTCGAATTTTGAATACGTTACAAGCTAATCAGTAGATAATAAATCATTATTTTTATGAAGGTTAGTTTGCACGAAATACATAAGAGGGCGTAATTATGAGTAAAGGATAATTTTAAAAACCTTTTTTATGATGAGTATTTTAGTGGCAGATTCAAGGGGCCCAGTCGGCCCACCGTCCCTATTTTTTTTTTGAAATTAAAAAATTATATTCAAATTCAGTCTGAGAGTGTAATTTCCGACCAACTAGAGGTGCCATAATCATAAATTTTCTTACCTAAGCCCCAACCATGGTGGGGCTGAGGTGGTCTACACTCTCCATCTGTAAAAGTCCCTCTCTGGGCCCAGCTCTTTTTCAAATTACTGGATCCGCCACTGAATATTTTGAAAATTTCGTATGGAAATAAATGTTATTTGCATTGCTTAAAATCAATTAAAAGGCTATATGCGCCAGCGCTTCCGGGGTCTTAGCCCCCCTGGTCCCAACCAAGGCTTGGGCCTACGGCCCAAGGCTCACTTTTCATTTCGTACCGCCCACTTTCAACCACGGATCGACGCGCTTGCAAGTGTTTAGCAACCCACCGCTCGCTAAAATAATGATTTTGAATAAAAATGAAATTTTATTTTTGGCTAATTAGCACACTTGCCATCACAAGAGAAATTTCAGAGGAATTAAAAAAAAAAAAAAGTTTTTCAATATTTTTATTATGCCCGCCGCTGCCTTAAAATAAGAATTACGTATTTCTATTCCTAATTATATAAATTTAAAGCACTTAACCATCCCATTTCTACAGTGTTCCACCAAACAAATCTTATTTTTATTTTCTTCTCTGTCTAGATGTTTTAGCAAAATTATATTTGCTAAATAAAAAAAAAAAAAAAAATTTTTTTTCAAGATATTTAAAGAGAACATTAACTTTCATTGTTCAATTGGATTTTTGAATGCTTTTTTTTGTCTTTTATTTTAAAATTCTTGGCAGTCAACCATCATAAATCATTTCAAGAATATCGTGAAAACTAAACGAGTTGCAGCTGAAAATGGAACTGGAGGTGCAGCAGTGGTAAAAAATAGAGATAAAAAGAAAAGAAAATGTGAGGTGGTAGAAACAGAGGATGATAAAGGTCAAAGTTGATTTACCAAAATTATGCGTTAATCAGAAACCTATGTTTTCAAGCAGAGAAATATCCTTTTTCCATTAATTAAACATCATGGAGGGATATCCCGCACTCCAGTTGGTGTCAGAGGTATGTACATTATACCAGGGTAGGGCGATTCCATATGTGGCGTACGGGACATTCAGAACCTTTTTTGCAGCCTGATTAATAATTAATATTCAGAAGAAATATCTGATTAATAATTAATATTGAAAAGAAAAATATTTTATCACAATATGTATGTTGTACAATAAGTAACAACACATGATTGCCATTTTAGCTGAAATCAGGTTTTTTGAAGAAAAATATAAAAAAAATTGTTGTAGCCATACTTAAAATGAAGTCAGGAGTCCTAAGAAGAATTTAAAACCAGTTTTTTTCAGATACACATTGATATTATTTAATTACCGCCTTTTAGAAATTTGGGGTCAGTGTGGCGTACGTGACAGCCAAAACGTGGCGTACGAGACATTTCTAATAAGTCCTTTAACTGATACAAACTTAAAGTAGCCATACTTAAGACAGAGTCAGGATTCCTAAGAAAAGAAAAGCACCTGTTTCTTTAAAATAATTGCCACCTTTTAAAACATTTATGCAAGTGAGATGTACGGGACAGACAAAGTACGGGCCATCTCTGAATGAAGCCTAAATTTATATACAGAATAATCCATTTTACATATATATAGGATTTTTTCATTTGCTTAGGCCTACCCTGATCCTAAATTATGTACAGGTAACGTGTCTTTGGATTATGCTGAGGTTAAAAAAAAATTTCCCCATAGTAAACATAATTTTTGAGATTTTGAGTACTTGAATATATAGGCATTTCCCTGTAATGATAGTATATAGTGGATCTACATTGAATTGAACTAATATTAATTTACAAAACTTTTCTTAAACAATATACTAAGATATCACTCTAAACTTATTCCTCCATGATACCACTAATCAGGATAGTCATAGTATATTAATTCCAATTTAAATACATTATTTTATAGCAGATATATGTGTTGAAAACAGCAAATATCATGGTGTGGCATACGGACATGTCCTGTACGCCACGGCACGTGGCGTACGGGACATAATTTATAGGTTAATTTCTTGGAAATTAATTTATAAAAATATCCATAAATTTGCTCTAGCATTATTTATAGACTAAAAGTAGAGGATCTGAAGTAAAAAGTTTTTATCTTTTTAAATTTGGTTTTAGGACTAACTTTTAGACGTCTGCATGGCGTACGGGACACGACGAAAAATCACCATAAAGAAACGTAATTTACTCCGCAATAAATAAAGTGACATGATCAGGACTGATGTTGGCTTATATAATATCCCATCATGTTGACTGGTAACATTAACAACCTTGTATAATCAATCTATTAGTAACTACGCTCACGCTAGCCATTCGCAAATTCGCCAACAGCGAATTGAGATACTTTATTTCTGTAAACAAATTTAAGCTTCGTCTAGGCTAGGCCTAGGCTAGGATTGGCTCTTCGTAAGTTATCGCGAGCAGCGGCGATATCACCTCACTAAGCGACCCTATTTTCACCACATGTTCAGTACAGATTTACAGATCGTCCTTGGCATGCGTATGGACATGTATGGACTTTGAAGCAAACATTCTGATCATTGAATGCACTTGACATGCTAAAACTATCATTCCCACGCTAAGACAGAACGCTAAAACGATTTTTCTTCGGCGATTTCGTTATTTAAAACATGGTTATTATTCTACTTAAAATAGCACATGTATTTTATTCTGAAATCCGAATCTCTCCTTAATTCCGAACGTAATATTCGGTATAAACACAAAAATCAACTTCTTAAACGAGACGATCAGTTAAACCCTGAACAAAACAACAAGCATAGGTCTACCAGATGCCGTGAAAAAGAACTGTGATGTCATGCCATGGAGATTGCGCAAAACCCTCCCTGGGTCCCCTCTATTTCGCCTTCCTGGACCAGATCATTTCCGGGCTAATAGAAGGGTAATTTTCATCCATCGGAGGACAAGTGAAGTTGTCGTCGGGGAACCCATTTTAAAGATAACACTTATGATAAATAATTCATTGAGATCGTGGAAGCAATCTCGACATCGACTTTGTTCGGAAATATGTGACGCATTCAAGTGCGGGGGTTGGGGGCGGGGGCTAAATTGTTCAATATTTTTTAATGGAGATATAAGCAAAATTATATTCAAATTTTAAGACTGAGAGTGTAATTTCCCACCATCTAGAGGTGCCATAATCACAAATTGTCTTACCTCAGCCCCAACCATGGTGGTATAGATCCTCCATCTGCTAAAGTACCCAGTGGCAAAATCAAGGGGACCCAGCCGGCCCGCCCCCACCGCTAAACTGTTCATACAAAAATAGAGATATAAAGATAATTATATTCAAATTTTATGTCTGGAAGTGAAATTTCCAGCCATCACAAATTTTTTTACCTCAGCCCCAACCATGATGGGGCTGAGGTAGTATAGATTTTCTATCTGTGAAAGTACCCTTCCGGGCCCTTCAATTTTGTATTCCTGGATCCGCCACTGGAAATTACAACAAATATGAAGTCATAATACAGTAGCTTGATGCCTATAAAATAACTTAGCATAACAATACCACACATAAGGCTAATTCAAGTTAGACGACTTAAACCAGCCAGATTCTTATCCTGTTAACAGTTATAAATCCTTGGAATAACGACATTATCAACTTGACCCTTAGTGTAGTATCAAAAGTAGCAGCAAAAACAACATCACAAACATACACAGCTTTCAAAGTGAAGAGCTCAGATAGATTGTATTTGTTTACGTTTGCAATGAAAGTTGTTACATAAAAAAAAAAAAATCTTGTTATTGCCATGCCCATAAATCCCATACAATTTGCTTGTGTTTTTTTTCAGTTTAAAATCTGTATCTGTTATTTGTTAATTTTTTGTTATTAATTTTTAGTTTCATTTAGGAGAATGAATCCATTGACGAAATTATCCAGAAGTTCATTTTTCCACGGCTGGTGAGGTCAGGCAACCTCAAAGAAATCATCCCACTCTACTTCGCTGCCGAGGGGAGGGGAATAATAATAATAATAATAATAATATGCAAGTTTTTATAGCGCTCTATACAACTAAGTCTCGGAGCGCTGAGAAGATTTGCGAAGGCCACTGGCTCTAGCCCTTCTACTGGGCACATTCTGTGTTTTTAACATTCAGTATCCTAATAAAGCAAAGAACTATATCGTCCTAAAATCCAAAATGTTTAGATGAAAGAAGCCAACAAACATGTCATTACACTGTTTGGGACTTGCTAGTTGGAACATAAGAGTTTATAACCTCATTCATTTTGAAAGGGTATTTCTCTCGCTAATCTGCCATTATAGGCATGTTTATACGGGTAAAGATAAAATATATGTATTTTGTAAAAAAATAAGGGAATGATTATTTATGGAATTTTTGTGTGGTCTTTATTGATTTGTGGTCTATTGAAATTATTTCCAAGGAGTCAATTTAACCCCCAAAATGGAGTTAAATTTAACTCCAAAAGTGGAGTTAATAAAAAAGATACAAAACGATTCCTTTTCTGAAGTAATATTTACTCTTATATTTCTACTCCCCAAATGTAGTAATATTAACCCCAAAAAGGGGATGGGAATCACCCTCTTTTTGGAGTTAATGATTCTCCCTTTGGGAAGTAAAAATATAAGAGTAAATATTTCTCCGGAAAAGGAGTCGTTCTCTACCTTTTTTATTAACTCCACTTTTGGAGTTAAATTGACTCCTTGAAATTAACAGTGTACGAGTTTTCTAAATCTTTACCATCAAAATCGTATTTCCCCGTATTTAAAATTGCGTTTATTCATACAACATTTAGTTGCTTCAAGTTCCTGTCTCTTATACACATCTAGATGTGTATAAGAGACAGTCTCTGAATGAAGCCTAAATTTATAT